CGGGAGGTCTCTTTTGGCGGAATTGTGGAGGGGACAGCCATGTACAGTCCTGAATTTTTTCCCGCTGGATTTAGGAATTTAGGAAGCGTTAGTCACTGGCAGTCGGCCTATGAGTGAGGATGTGTAGTGAGCACTCGTCGAATTCCACTAACAAGGGAACTGTCTGAGTGTCTTCTAATAAATTTTAATAAAATTTAGTTAATAACTACGTTAAAAGTATACAAACTCTATTTTAAATTTGTAGCATTCACTAAAAGTGTTGACCAGAGTTATTAGCAATCAAATGTTGCACTACTTTATAGTAGTTTAACACAGTTATGCAAATTTTTAGAAGTGAAAGGGTCGCGGAGGAAGACGGCGATATTACATTTAGAATAAATTCTGGAATTTTCAAAAATAGGAGAAGAATTAATAAAATTTAGTTAATAATTATGTTAAAAGTATACAAAATTTTATTAATTCTTCAACCATTTTTGAAAATTCCAGAATTTATTCTAAATGTAATATCGCCGTCTTCCTCCGCGACCCTTTCACTTCTAAAAATTTGCATAACTGTGTTAAACTACTATAAAGTAGTGCAACATTTGATTGCTAATAACTCTGATCAACACTTTTAGTGAATGCTACAAATTTAAAATAGAGTTTGTATACTTTTAACTTAGTTATTAACTAAATTTTATTAAAATTTATTAGAAGACACTCCAACAGTTCCCTTGAAAGTTGGAAAATGACTGAACAATGTGAGCAGCGATATCGCATAAAATTTTGCCAAAAGCTTGGTGATACCCAAGCGGAAACCATTTGCAAGACTCAGCAGGCTTTCGGGGATGATTCTCGAGGCCAAAAAAAGTGTAGCAGGTCCGCAGCAACGTCATGTTGACAGTTTTTTCGACTCCCGTCGGGTGGTGTATCGTGAGTACACACCATGAGGCCAAACCATCGCAAAGGAGTACTACCAGGATGTCCTTCTTCCTCTTTGTGATGCTGTGAGATGCAAATGACTGGATCTGTGATAAATCAAAACTTGGCAGCTCCATCATGATAACACACATCCCCATTCTGCGCATCTGATTTGGACTTTCGTTACCAAACACAACATTTCTGTGGTTTGTCATGCTCCGTACTCTCCTGACATGGCTCCGTGTGACTTTTGGCTATTTCCCAAGCTGAAAATGCCTCTAAAAGGAACCAAATTTTAGTCAAGAGAAGACACGCGGAATGCGATGGACCAGCTGATGGCCATTCCAAAAGATGCGCTTCAGCAGTGTTTCCAGCAATGGCAGGAGCGCTGGGAGAAGTGTATACATTACCAAGGAGACTACTTTGAAAGGGATTAGGGTTTTGTACCTCAAAATCAATAAATATATTTTTGCCAACCAAAGGTCCAATACTTTTTGAACACCCCTCATACATCAATATGAATAAGATTGAAACTCCAAAACTTTTTCTCCAAATGAATATTTACGTTCACGTATCTTTTATTAGAAGCCAATGTCCATTCATCAAAACTCAAACTAAAGCACTGGCCTTTATTTTTTAAAGCAGTTAATTTAACTTTTATATGCTTTCTAATTCTGTAGCTATAATTGACAACATGGTTATGAACTGTTGAAGCAGCTTTTGGTAAATCTGAATACCGTTTTGATAATAATAACGCTCTCAAATCACCAAATGATCGCCTAAATATCAAGCTATAATAAGGCTAGTTAAATGATTAATATAAAGTAATTTGACACTAGAGGTAGACATTACTGTATACTACTTGGGCTTTGAGATGTTATTATTTATATATACAGTAGACCCCCTATAAAACCGGTTCCTATAATTACAATTCCTATAAAACTGCGAAAAAATTGCGACAGTATCTGTAAAAAAAGGTAAAAAACTCCTATAATTACATGAAACATCATCGGGCAGCCGAACTATTTTCCGCCGTCAAGTGCCACGCTACAGAGAGTTTGCTATCGTATGTACAGTATTATATATAAATTAGGTACTGTATATATAATTATATATTAACTTAATTTATTGTAACTTTATTATAATTATATATATTTTTTCCGCCGCATAGCGCCACGCTACGGAGATTTTACGCTAACTATCATCTGTACAGTATGTAAATTAGGTACCATAAGTCTAATACAGTACTGTAATTTTATACATTTCTTGTGAAAGAAACATTTCTTATTCAACGGCAATTAAAATTATTTATATTAATGATGTCTCCAAAGTTCAACGAAGTTTTCGCAGAAAAATAAGTTATTAGAAATCGGCCGCTGTTTGCTGAGCTGTTCCGCGACGAAAACAAGCTTGAACAATGGCGATGTCGAATGGTGCACACTCGGTAAGTAATCCTACAATTCTTTGTTTATAGCGTAGTTTATACGGATTATTTCCAAAAAAAAATATACGTATTTTGGAAATGTCGAGTAGAAATAGTCTAGAATCGATTAATTTTATGGAAGAAAACCTTTCAAACAGCCATAGTCCGTAAACTTGACACGTGTCGGGCTGTGATTGGAAGGACTCGTAAGAAATCGGATTCCTACAGAATGGAACATATCTATGATCATATAGGGAGGTCGACTGTTGTATATGCTCTCAAATCTTTTGAGGTTACAAAGACACTAAAAGAAAAGCCATCTAAGGCTGTCATTCGGGCTAAAATGTCATTTAAAGTTTCAGTTTTAACAAAAAAGCCCTCAAGTGAGCTATGTTTTCGCTACAACGACGGTGGTTCTTCACCATTGCCACTTTGGCTAGTTGATGAGGACAGCCTTACAGTAATAACTTTTTTGCCATGTTTAGTTGAAAGATGAGTGTGTAGTCCTTTGGTTGACCCTCCTAAGGTTTTTAATATAACTGGGCAGTATTTACACTGTGTTGTTTTGCTCTCTTTAGCAACCAAAAAATGGTTCCACACCAACGTTGTATCTCCATCTTTTTTATGTTTGATGAAAAAACTTTGTTTAGACAGAAACATAATCACTATAGTCTGTCATAAATACCTTTAAAGAGAAAAAATTACATTAGTGTAATAAATTCAAGTACCTACTAATTATAAATTAACTAAAAAACAATAAAAGATGCTACTCACGTAATAAAAAGTGCAGTTTTTCACGAACAACCTCTCAGTCTGTTGGTGCAAATGCTACTAAAATCCGCTGGCAAAACAAGATGGCTGACACATTGACAGGTAAAATACACTGAGCAGTGCTCTTGACTGTGCCAGAAAATCGATTGGCGCACGTAAAAATTCAAAAATGAAGTATATTACCAGGTAACTCAGTGAGAACTGCTTGCCATCATTTTAGTTCAAAATACAAGAAGTTTTATTCCAAGCAAGCATCACAAACCCTCTAGGTTAATTACTTTGTGCTGCTTGCGTGGAATAAAACTTCTTATATTTTATATTAAAACGATAGGCAAGCAATTCTGTTAAGAGCACTGGCACTAAATGTTTCGCTTCATGCAGTCTATTTTGCAAATTTTTTATGATGATGTCAATCCCGAAAATCTCGGAATCAGGAAAACTTAATCCTGAAAATTTTGGGACTGAAAAGTGGTTGGGATCCTGGTATCCCGGGATCAAATCCTCTAATTATAATGTTTTGATTTTGTTTTCCAATCATCACATATTAAGACAAACATGGTTGTTTGTTCTAATATGTGCATTTGATAATATTTTATTTGTAATTAAACAAAATAAAATTAGAATTGTATTAATAAATTTAATTTTCTTTATTTTGCTATCTAAAGTCACACCTCATCCTATATGTGAGATCGTCTCATATGCAAATAAATACAGTATATTTTGATCACCTATGTCCTTCCTCCAATGTTTTTTGATTAAAAAAAATTTTTTTACATGTAATTGTACAGTGCTGTATAACTGACCAAGGTGCTACTGTTTGATGAACATGCAAAATAAAACTTAGCAAAAATGAGAAATAAAAACTTAGGAAAATGGGCTGCCGAATTGTACGCAAGTCAAAGAATGTTGGGAACCATTGCACTACAGCAGAAGGTAGTCAAAGAATCAATGTTTACAGATAAATCAAATTGTGTTTTTAATGAATAAGATTGATACCACCTAACATAAAATTAAAAGTAAATAAAAAGATATTAACATTGATGAATCAGTAAAATACAAGATCAATGAGTCAATCTTAGGCTCTTGAGTTTGGTTTGAACTATATAGATGTCCTAAGCCAAATGGTAATGATAATGTGGAGCCAGTTTGTAATTCATCACAAATTTATTCCATGAGGTGCCAGTACATTAAGAACTATTAGACTTTAATTTTTTAAAATTTGATCAACATGGATAAGGGATGGAGAACAATATCTCCAATCAAACTCCATTCAAAAATTATGGCATTTGGATTTGATCCCTGATCCTCAATATTAATAGAAGAATTTGTTACTATATAGTTATATAGGATATATAAAAACTAGCAGATAGGCCCAATATTGCTCATGCAAAAAGTAACAATAGTAAAGATTAAGATTATTACGTTATAATCAATCTTACCCGTTTTCATAGAATGCAAAAATTAGGTCCCCTGTTTCCAGACTAATTAGAAAATTTTTAGATGGGTCTAAAAAATATGTTTGATTTCCTGCAAAAAAAAAAAAAAAAAAAAAAAACTGCAAACTGCATCTGTGTCTGTAAATCTTGCACATCACTTTCTCTTAATACTTCCATTGTTGACACTTCCATTCTTAACACTTTCATTGTTGAAGCCTTAATCCTGTCCCTCTCCCCGGAGGAAATTTGAAAAAATCCCTTCTTAGTGTACGTTCTCGTGACATACGCTAACTGTGTACCAAATTTCAACTTTCAACTCCTAACTGTTTGGGCTCTGCACTGATTATTATTATTATCAACCCATCTTGATTATATATATAGATAACAAGATAATCTCTTCACTATTCCATACTTTAATGCTATTTTTTGTTTTTTAATTTAAATACAAAATAAAAAATTAATTTTAATACCTTTTGCAAATGAAGATCTAATGCTATGTTATTTGGCAACTGGCCACCAACACAAAGAATTATTCCTTCCGGTTGCTCTAATGTGTAGATATCCATTACAGTCTGAAATTTTTATGTAATATTTAACAATGTAGATTCTTTTATTAATACTATATTACTTATATTACTGTCTCACCTCAAAAGATATTTCATCAAAATATAATCTGTCACACATATCATAATCAGTGCTGACAGTTTCTGGATTGTAATTTATCATTATAGTTTTTCTTCCCATCTGAAAGAGTTGCTAAAATTAATCATTCAAAATGGAGATGATGATAAAGAAAACATACAAAAGTATAATAAAATTGGTATTTATTTTTTTATTAATTATCATCAAAAATAAATTTTGACTTTTCTTCCTGCTGCTTCTATTCTTTTATTATCTCCTCTGCTTTCCCTTTTGTTAAACTCTGTATTTTCAGAGGAAGAGAGAGATGAGGAAAGAAAGGTGCAGGCATGTGCACTGAAAGAAGCAAGTAGACAAACTAATCCAAATTAAGAAGATAAAAGTTAAAAAAACAAAAAAAGTTTTCTGAAAAAATTAGTTCATCAATAGAGTAAATTTGACAAAAAAGAAAATAAAGTTTAGTTTAAATACACTTAACTGTATAGTATTTTTATATGTCCAATCACCATATATTTCATTACCTGTTTCTGTTCTGTTCTGTTGCTCAGGCTAAACAGTAAACTTTACCCAAGTAAAGTAGCTCTTAACATTTCCAGTGCCCACACCTTTTGAATTTTTAAAATACAGTGGGTGATCGGTTAACGAACATAACCCGTTCCAAGACTTTGTTCGCTATTCGAATTGTTCGTTAACCGATTATCGATTTACCATAGGTTTTAAATGGGAATTTAATTAATTCATTCTGGAGACCCTCCAAAAATAAAAAATATATACTTTCTTACTACGTTTATTCATATGTAATAACAAAAATACATATATACACGGTCTGGCATTTTTATTAGTCATGTTTTTTTCGTTTGTGGGGTTAAAGAATCTGTCCAATGTCGATTGCTTTTCTGTCTTCTTCATGATTTTTCAGAAGTAATTAATAGCATTGTAATTGTAAAGATCCATAGGCCTATTAACCTCAACCTGGTTTGGATGCCATTTTAAAACCGTTGTTCTGACATCCTCCCATTTCTTCAAAAGATTTTTAATAGCAGATATCAACATAAATCCACATTTTCAGAAGAAAACGTTAAAGAATTGTTTCTGTCAAAAATATTACAAGGTCTGGAATTAGAAGGAAGTGTTTCAAAGTTCGGGGAAATACTATCCATTCAGTATATACTGGGTAGAATGTCGACGTCTCCTGCGCTCCAAAAAGTTTCGAATTGTTGCCTGAAGACAAAGACCAATTGGTATTCGTTATTTTATGTCGCTCCTTCTTGTGTTTGTTCAGTCAAGTGTTCATTGTCCGATCATAAAAATCTTTCGTGAAAGTGTTCGTTATCCGATCACTCACTATACTCTCCCATTTCTAATTAATTTCTAAGCTTTTCTATCTATACTAATAATTCTTACTTATCTTCATTAACTAGAACTATATCATCTGCAAATAACACATACCATGGTTTCCCTTTGACTGTACTTCTAACACTTTGTCTAACATTAAGATAAAAACATATGGACTTAATCTTGGACATCTACTTTTATTCTAAAGCTTTGTGTATCTCCATACCATGTATTAATTTGACTACCACTCCAATACTACTCTTATACATTCTTCTCCTATTTCCTTCCTCCTAAGTACTTGCAATATAAAACTTCTAGAAACCCTGTCAAACTTTTTCTAAATTATAAATATAATATTTCAGTCTGTCTTAGCATCTGTATATTTTTCTATTATCTGCCTGACTGAAAATACTAGTTCCATCATCAATCTACCTGATGTAAATTCACTTTGATTCTGACTTATACCAATCCTGTTCCTAACCCTAATATCTACAATTTTTTCCTATAACTTCATTGTATGACTCATTAATTTTTCCTCTATAACTACTGTATTCCATTTTCTTGTATATTTTAAAATGAATTGGGGAGACTTTTGATCATAGTCAATAATAATATAGAACAGTTGAAAGTTATTAGTGAATATTTGAGATAGGAAAAAAACTGGAACAACAGTTAAAACTGGTAAAAACAGCAGGGAAACATCAAACAGCATTTCATTTAAAGTGAATGTAAAATATATACAACCTCAAATTAGGAAAAAAACTTACTTTTCTTAATTTTGTAACACAACTAACGGCACACCAATCAAACTCTACAGAACTACCAATTCTATAAACTCCAGATCCCAAGACCATGATAGCTCCTCCAGGAAACTGAAGATCATGAGAAATTCCATTGTAAGTTAAGTACAGATAATTTGTCTTAGCGGGCCATTCTGCTGCAACGGTGTCAATCTGTTTGATTTTAGGAGTTATGTGCATTGTCTGACGGATCTTTCTAACTACTAGTTCAGTACTGAAAATCATGTATGGTATGTTAAAATTATTAAATAATTTCAAATTTTAACTCATTAAATAATGAATATAATTATACAGTAAACTAAGCCTGAAATTATAATTTAATCAAACGATAATGCTGGAATTGTCTGATACAACTGCATTACAAGTGGGAGTTGCAAGTTTGAGCAGAAAAGATATAAATTTAATGAAGGAAGGAATCCAATATATATTCCAAATCAATTTAGAATATTACGGAAGAAAAGATTGAGTAATTTAACATAAGACTGCAAATTAATTCCTGCCTTTAGTTCAAGTTATTTTATATCTATATATTTCTATATATTTAATTAGTGAAATTTGATCTGACAAATCCAGCAATATCATTTGATAACAGATACAATTAATGATTAATTCTTTTAATTTTGCAATTACTAAGAAAGCCTTTTCTTCATGCCCATAACAACTTTGACTAGCCTAAAACAGAAGCAATTGAGCAATGAAGAAAGGAATCCAATATATTTGAATGCAAATTACATCACAAAAATTCCCAATGTTCCAATTTGAACTTGGAACCCAGATTCCCAGAGCAGAAGGCTGAGACCTTTACCACTTTATGGTACACATTTCAAGGTGATACTATATTATGCTTCAATTGTTTAAATCAATAAGCAGAAAAGATATAAAATTAAAACATAGGTTTGCTCCATTTAATGACGGACCTTGTATATGGCAGAGGTCCTATAAAATTCAAAGGTGCCCATACCTTTTCTATATTTAGGTATGTTTTCGTACCTAAATACTTGTCATTGTGTTACATATAGCTTATAAAAATAGTAGACTATACCATATAGGTTTGTCAAAGAATGCAGTGTGACATTCACTTAATAACAAAGTTGTTTAGTAACATTTAACACAGTTGTGAAAGAAAATTATTTCTCAAAGTGTATTTCTGTCATTAAATGACATGCATCTATATATACATAACATTTTCATTTTATACAAATAGCAACTCTAATTCTATTGAAATAGAATGGTCCCTTTTCCATTTATAAAAACATTCAAAGTGACAAACAATATGCTCATAGAATTAAATTTAAAATTAATACGTAGATGTAAAAATTTAAAGCATACCTCTCAATACACTGTGCAATTTGTTTATCAGAAAACCCAAGTTGTTTAGCCTTCAGGATCACTTCCTTTGTTAAACCAGAAGGCTAAAAATATAAATTTTTACTTTAAATCTCTTTTTACAAGGTAATCAAAGATAAATTTAAGCTTTACATTGATCAGAAAGACAGTTTAAATATAATATATATAATATTAAATAAGAAATTAAACAAAAAAAGCAATACACCTTGTATAACTCCAGAATTATATTTAATTAACCAAAAACATTTTAGATCTACTACCATGGGCCTTCTTCAGTTGGAACATCAAACTTAAAAAAAAACATTTGAAAAATATATTAAACACAATGAAAATAATTTAAATTCAAAAGAATGGGAAGAACATTTTAAATCAATAGAACATTTGTTCAATTCAAATAGAAGGGATATAAGAATGTTTTTAATTAATTACTGGAGTTAAACAAGATGTACTGCTTCTTTCTTTTGATTATTTCTCCAGTTTTGTCAAATTATTTTGTGATAATAAATTACTAAAAAGAAATTTGAAAGTTTAATTTCAATTTCTAAGATCTAAAAAAATTAAGTTGTTTGGATTCATTGATTTGCAGATATAACAATTGAAAATCTACATTTATTATTTTAACTCTTTCTGTCCTATGAACGTTAAGAGAATCTTGTTTCCTGTACTGTACTGTACATCACATCTTCAGCTGGAATCATGATGAGGCAGGGCCAAGTGGCTGAATCCAAAAAAATTTCCAAGGATCTGGCTGGTGGCATCTTGTACTTTCTTTTATAGAGGGCTGTACAATCAGAATCATGAAATAGTAGTATAAAAGTTAACCAAGGAAAGAAAATTATTTCCAAAACCACATGAAAGAGGTTAAGTACTGTCACAGCACATATCATCCCTCTGATAAAATATTTTCAATTCTGTTCTTAATTTTTCTTTGTCATTGAAATTTTAAGTTTCAATGATGTTAGCAAAAGTTCATTCAGGAGAGCTTTCTTTGTAAGTGGGAAAAACATTCAAAGAAAATAATTCATCTTGTAAAACTAAATTGGTCTCATATTTCAGTCATTATGACATTGCAATATTCTTCAGCCACAATTGATTAATTTCAGACAAATTTGCTCTATGGTACTTTGAACTTAGTTTGATTGTATTGAATTTGTCATCTTACTTTGGTGATCCAAGATTCAAAATTATTTAAACAATTCTGAATGTACTGTACATGCTGCCAACTTCACAATACTAGACTTGCTTAAAAAATATTTCAATGGAATGGGATAACAATAAACTGTTCCTAGTAAACAATTAAACTGGAAGACCATTTGCTTCTGATATTGTCTTAAGGTTTTTCTTTGTATCTAGAAGTGTTTCCAAGCATTTGAAAATTGATTGTTTTTTTCATACAGAGTATTAATCATTCTTGTTTTGAAATTCTGTCTCATTATAACAATCTTTGGAAGCCAGGATTTTGCAATTTCATCCAAAACTGATGTGATTGAGAAAAAATAAAGCAAAATACTTTATTTTGAAAAAATCTTCATAATATTTCTAATGCAAGATACAGTCTTTTCAAGCATTATGTTGAACTGATGAATATAATAATGGATGTAAAAGGTATTGGGCATTTTTGCCTAATGAGTGCTTGTACACTGTATATAACTGATACTCTGTTATAAGTTAGTTCCGAATGATCATTTTATTTGTAAGAACAGCAAGATGATAAGCTTTACCTATTATAACCCCTGCTATATTTTCTGATGCATAATCCTCTAATTTAATAATTTTCAAAATAGTCCATTTCAATTATGAAACAATTATCTTTTTATTGTTGATTCTTTCTGTCCTGCAGACACCAAGAGAACCTTTTAATTATATTTGTCATGGATTTGGCCAGGCTTGCAATGAGAGTTACACACCCAAAGAAAATCTAGAAAACTCAATGCAGCCAGCCTGCAGCTGACTACAAGTGTTTGGCAATGTCATCTACTCAACCACTAGTAGGCTTGCCAAAGGAAATCTTTTAATAGTCAATATAATGGAAACTTAGTTATAGAGAAATTAAAAAGATAAAAGTACAGTAGAGCATCGATTATCTGACTCAATTGGGGACTGGGGTTGGTCGGATAATTGAAAAAGCAGATAACCGAAAAATATGAAAAAATACATTATTAGTATATCTCACGTAATTAGTATATTAGTATATCGCTATTAACCTACTTCGCATTGAATTTTCATCGACGTTAAGCCTAACAAAAATTTTTTTAAAATAATAATCGTCGCTATTGTATCGTTAAAAATTTAAAAATTAAGCCTCGTTTAAATACCGGCTTCCTTTCACGGTCGAGCCATGTTGCCAGCTAAAACATGTAAAAATACTATTAAAGTAGCCAAGACATAGCCAAATATTGTAGCGCCACATCACTAGTGGACATTTGAATTTGCCGACTAGAACGGTCAGTTAACCGATGTGACGGTTAATCGGGGGTCGGATAATCGATGCTCTACTGTATTGATACAATTTGTAGAAAGACAAATTACAAAATTAACATTCTCATTCAAGAATATTAACTTCTTGCTGAGTTTAGTTCATGAATTCATTATGAACTTAGTAATTGAATATATTAAAACTTACCTTTGATTGAAAACTTTCTAAGAAACTGTGATAATTAATTATATTTTGTAATTTTGAAAGAAACCAAGGATCAATTCTTGTCAACTTATGTAAACAATCAATAGAATAACCAGTTTTCAATGCCGCTGCAACCACAAACATTCTCTTGTCTGTTGGGCATTCTAATTCCTGAAAATGAAGAGAAAGTATATGATTCTTTATTTACAAAAAAAAAAAAAATAAATAAAAAATCAAATGTAAAGAATAATAAAGAAGTTATTGTTAAAAATGTAATTATTTACAGAAAGATTTAAACTTTGAGAAAATAAAATTTTTATTTCTAATGCAAATCTTATTAAAGTTCTTAAACTTAAATTTTATCAAAGTTTGGTTTATTTTGATAGGATATGGCAAAGCAACACATGAGCATAGGAAAAGGTACCTCCCGAGGAGATTTTCTATGAAAAAAATGGCTCCTATTTAGACATGTGAATAAAATTTAAAAAACTCCACATTGGTCGGCCTGTTGGTGAGATGCAAACCCTCAACCAACTAATAGTGTTTGACAGTTTTAGCTGTTTGGCCACTGACGAGCTATTTTATCAATGTTCAGCAATTTTGCTTTAGAATAAGATTTTTAATCTAACAAATTTTGGTATTCACTAAGTTCTTACCTCATCATTTACTTGTTTGATATAGGGATCAAATCCGGCAATATTTTCATCAACCATTCTAAGGGCTTTCTGGAATGCTTCTTCAAAGTTACGACCAATCGCCATTACTTCGCCAACACTCTTCATTGAGCTACCAATCTGGAATAATTAAAAATCTGTTAATAAACAAAGAAATCAAAATCTGAATAAGAAAAGTGCTGAAATCATGGTTAGAGTCAAATAAGTAATAAAATGCTATGGATATCTCATTTGATACATTAGTACCAAATGACTGCAGGATTACATTGGGCTATATTAATGCTATTAATTAAATATAAAGTAAATTACTTTACACTTAATTAGTAATTAGTAATATAACCTAATGTAATCAGCAATCATTTGGTATTAACAATCTAACAATCTAAGAATCAGGTTTATGGATGTTTGTGTTTGTGTATATACATCACTTGATACATTAATGGATTTGTTTAATTTTAATTTAAAAACAATTGTTTACAATCAAATATATGTTTTCTTTACGCATTATATCATAAATGGCATCATTACTTTGTAATAAATTTAATAATTAGAAATAAATAAATTAATAATAATTTAGAAATATTTGGTAAAAAGAAAAATCAACCACAAGGAAAACTCAAATCTACAACGATGTGAGTTGGACAAGTACATTAATAGTTATGCCACCTGTTTTGATCATTATTGTCAAATTCAAATTAAATTATTTAATAATTCAGGTACTATTAAGCTACAGTACAGGTATATTCAGTAAGGATTACTTTGATTTATAATTAATCTTTACAAAATCCAATTATTTCACACTAGTTTCACAAAATAATATAATAGGAGCATTGATTGATAAATAAAGTCACCTATCATAGCATTCTGCAGCATGCAGAGATAGAAACATGTATGAGGATCCAGAGCTATTATTTCTAATAATTTGAAAAATTATAAATATTTAAAATTTGTTAAAAATTTAAACAAATCTAACATTGCAAATTTCAATGAGGAAGTTAATTAATTTTTTATCAGCTTCTAACTTCTTTCAGAGATGATACATCTTTCCAAGATCACAATGCATGCAGGGAAGTATTTTTTTAAATATCAATTGGACAATAGACAATTGTTAGGAAACAAAATGACCAAATTTGGTCAGATGCAAATTTGGTTAGTTTTATATATCGTGGTGTGATGTTGATGTTTTGTTAAAAGAATATTTTACACCAGGGGTCGCCAAACTTTTTTGATCGTCGACCCCCTACAACTTTTCGAAACCTCACACTGACCCCCACTAAAAGGTTTGTTACAAGAAAAAAAAACTTGGTGCATTTATAGACACTTGGCAAATAATTCCATCACCTACATTTACTTCTGACAGAAACGCGTTTCGGGCTTTCGCCCCTCTTCAGTCTGTTACGTCAATAGTTGTGACTTGTGTGTCCGTACTTCCCGCTCCCTTCCCCTCCCCTCTTTTCCCGACTTGACGGACTTCCCCGCATGCCTCGTAATTTGTAACATTACCCTTCTCCGAGTGTTGCACACAGCCTCGCCTGCGACTGTATAAACATTCTATTTTATTTTAATAATTGAAGCCAGTTTTTATGGATGTCGATGCTAAGGTTCTTGTTAATATTATTTTTGTCTATAGTAATTTCGTAGCTTTCTTTGAATTTTCTTTTGTACCAATTTTTTTCTTTGTGTACTATTGTTGCATCCTTTTTATCTATTTTGCAGTTGTGGGTCGTGCAGTGTTCGTAAAAAACTGAGTTGATTCTGTTATACTTCAGGTCTGCGATGTGTTCTTTTAGTCTTGTTTCTAATTTTCTTTTTGTTTCACCGATGTATACTTTTGGGGGTTCGCATGTGCAAGGTATTTTATAGACGACTTCGGTAGTGCTGTATTTGTCTGGTTGTTTATTTCTGTC